ACCTTGCGTAGTGCCCTCGTCGGACGAAATCTCACCACCACCTGCAACAAAGAGTCGAGCGGGGGTGTTATACGAATTTTTCAGTATTGTCGCAATAGATGGACACAGGTATTGTACATTGTGCAAAGCTGCTTGTCTGTTCAAGCAGTTGAAGGCATTACGTGCGTCTACCAAAAGAACAGCCTCGCAAGACTCATCATCATAAAGGCGTTGCATGGCATGAACAGCAGCTTCGATGCCCGCAGGAATACCCGAGCATTTCTGTATGAAACCGCACGCTTCTTGAACATCTTGGTTAACAACTTTCAATATCGCTCTGGTAATGATGCGGCGCAGGACTTCCCCAACACCGATTGGGCGCACACCAGGCTTCTTGTCCAGAGCCACAAGTCGGCACGCGAGAAAGGGTACCAGGCCAGAGGGTGCAACGTTGGAACTCGAAAGGAGGTGCGCGAGTCCAGACAATGCACTGCACATATTTGTCGATGCGCCTTTAAATGAAGAGCACATCCTTCGCCAACAAGCCGAATCAAGACCAGACGGTCCAGCCGAGCCCTCGCAATGCAGCGCCGTGTCTCGCAATAGTGAGGACGTGAGCGAGTCGAATCGGATTGGGTGGACGTTCTCCCGGGCACCCTGCAAGAGTACCTCCGGGGAGGCAGCCTGCGCTGCAGGGTGCTTCTCTTGCAATAGCTGGCGCACAGTTGACTGAGAGCCATCAGAAGACGTCACCACGTCCTAAATACAGTGTACACAAATGTCGATCCAGCTTATATTACTGATTGCGGTTCTCAAATTATTATTATTATTTTTTCTTATTTTGTTAGGGATTTTCCAACAGGCAATGTTGCCTTTTTACTGGGAACCCTAAATGAGACTTTGTGTGAGCGCGAAACAAAGCAGGCGACTCGGCCAGGCGACAAGATGGAGGCAGCGCATTCCACCGGTCGGCACCAAGATACGCAATGGAATGGAAACCATACCGGGAGTGGCAGGCAGGCAAGACAAGAGCAGCTGTAGCTTGGCCCCGGGTTGTGGCAGCAGTATGTGGGCCAGTGCAGCGGGGAGTGAATAGGAGGCTGAGAAGTGGGCTAGATAAACCATGTAGACAGCGAAAGACAAAGACGTATTGCTTGAAATTGCGTTGCTCTAGTGTGTAGATCTTGGTGTAAGCGTACAGTGTCTCAGTGGGAGTTCTGCGGTCAAGGGCAAATATTCTTTTAAGACTAGTACGGCTGGCTGTTATCAGCTTGTTGTATGAACGGTGAGATAGACAGTTATTGTAGGCAGAGCTAGCATACTCAAGGGTGGATTGAATAATGGATAGATAGAAAAGACGACGCGCTCTGTGGTTCGGGTTCTGCCTGGCATGCTTGTAGGCTCTGAGGTAAGCTGTACCAATTGATCAACTGTTGACCTCTTTCGACAAAACCCAAACTGGCTGGAACTGATAATTTTATTGCTCTCAATAAACGAGTAAAACTGACGGCTAATCATAGACTCATACAATTTGGCAACTGCATTTAAGAGCGATATAGGCCGGTAATTGACTGGGTGGGAAGGATTACCTTTTCCCTTGAACACAGGTACAACAACGGTAGATTTCCACTCCCTGGGCTGAGTACTGGACAGCAAGCAGCGGTTGAAAAGGGCGGAAAGAGACTGTGAAGTGACCTCTGCTGTTTCACGGAGGATTCGATTGTTCAGCAGTCCAGCGGTTTTACGTTGAATGGGAAGTCTGGATAGCGTGTCAAATACAGACTGCACAGAGAATGGTTGTATGGAGAACTTCACAGTGGACGTGGGTGTTAAAATACCAGCTGAGTGCAGGTCAGGTGTTAGCAGTGGCGCCTGGCTGTAGCTCGCAAACACTTTGGCTAGGAGATTCGTCTTTTCCGTATTACTCGTGGCTGGATAGGCTTGGTTGTCATGGTAGAGGTCAGGGGTAACGGGAGACGGGCGATTCGCATTACAAAGGATCTTTGCTTTGCGCCACCATGTACGGGTTCCATGATGCTGAGCCATGTCTATCGCCATCCTCTCGTGATAATGGCGTTTCGCCTTCCGGAACAAGGAAGTAAGACATTTACGTGAGAGTCTATACGCTATCCAACTATCTGTAGATCCGAGACGTTTGGCCTTGGCGAAGAGGCGATCCCGAAGCCGCCTCTGGCGATGGTGAACAGCAGAGTACCAAGGTTTGTTCGATGGAAATGCGCTTCTCCGGACAACGGGAACAAACAACGAAATAGAGTCTTCCAGCGCTGTGCGCCACAATGACCAGGCCTCATCAACTGTTTGCGCATTTTGGACGGCATCTAGCAAGGGTAGTTGCCACACGTGGTTGTTAAATGCTTGCCAGTCTGTGTGGGCAAAGTCCAGCCAGGTGTTTTGTGCAGAGGATATTTGGGGTGCTGCTGCTGATCGGTTGTGGACGACATCGAAAACTACAGGACAGTGATCAGATACCGTTGGGAGGATGGTGAGATGAGAGACTGCTCTTGGAGCATTAGTGATAACTAGGTCGTGTAGTGATGAACTCTTACCACTTGCGGAGTAGCGGGTAGGCTGTTGATCCACAAGTTGCGATAAGCCCAGATCATCCAGGGTGTCATACATGCATGTACCAGCAGGTGTATCAGGATCGGATGCTAGCCACTTCGAAAGGCGAGCGTTAAAGTCGCCAATGACAAATATGGAAGCTTGAGGACAAGATATTGATTGAATGCAGGTCCGGAGTGCGCTGCAGAACTGATCAGGTGGCTGCGAAGGAGGACGGTAACAACAGAACACAAACGTGGGGTTGGGGCGATGCTCTAGTTCTATGAACACAATTTCAATGGTTGGATCAGCAGGCTGAAGATCTGGACGATGTTTGGTGGTGTGGGAAATGGAAGGGTGGAGGAGGAATGCCACTCCACCTCCACGTCGCACGGTATTGTTGTGACGGTCATGCCGGATGATTTTGTATTCAGCTGACGGTGTTAATATTGAACTTGTGATATCAGGAGTCAACCAGGTTTCAGTTATGCCCAATATATCTAGTTGAGATGTGCAAAATAAGTTTTTAATCTCATCAGCCCGCTTCAGCCAGCTGCATGCGTTAAAGGGAAACTGAACGCCAAAAATAAGTATGGCTTATCCGAAGGGGAATTGGGCACTGATTCCGATGAGCTATGTCTCGAACCGATCAGAGAAGAGGAACCGTGTCAAATTTCATAAATAACACCTTCCATATTTGGAAATTGGCCTTGATGACGTGCGTACTGCTTAGCTGTCACCATGCTGTGCATGCTCAGCAGTGTAATTGAATGGAAGAAAACAATTACTTTGGTGTTTTGCAGCTCCATTTCGTTCCCTGACGGTAACCAAATCTAGATGTAGGAATCTGTTGAGCAGGAGAGTGATAAATGTCTTCCCGAAGGCTGTCCAGGCTGCAGTGGTGATGAAGAAGACACGATCATCACCCCGAGATCGATTGTAGCGAATTGGAAAACTCATGGTGAATTTTCTTCCACTCCAAGGCAATGTCGAGGTATGAAGGGTGCTTGTACTGCCTTCCAAAGTGAAGAGGAGATGAACATGGCTGTGCATAGCTATTGTTCTACGCCAACTTACCTACTTTTGCTGATACCGTAGTGCTATATTGCAAATTTCGTGGACGAACAACTCTCTAGTCACTAGTGGATAATGAGCAACACTAACAGGTGAGATTTTTCAATTTGACAAAAATTGTTTTTGTTTGAGAACTGACAGTGGCAGTCATTTGACTCAGTAGGTGTCTTTGCTGCTTCTTTACCTTCATTCGTAGGGTTGTGCTTGAATAGTACAAGTGCTTGAAGTAAAATAAAATAAATAGAACATGTGAAACATAAAATCTAATCAAGCATCAGTACATGTATTGCGAATTTCAACTTCAAAGCACATGATATCCCAATGATCACAAAGTTTATGGGATCAGGAGGACACCATGTGTTCAACGAACACATATACACATGCTGTATCAGTGCGCACACACATGTACACATGTGCGTGCACCCCACCCCATCCCACAGACACGCGCGTGCAGCGCGCACATCCATACACATGTGCATGTACCCCCCGACACACACACACACACACACACACTCCTACCCATACATATGTGCGTAGGACCCTGGCACATACACATACACGTGTGGACAGACGAATACACAAGCACACACGCCCGAACACACACAAGATACGTGTAAGTGTACATGGTCTTCCTGGTGCAGATGCGGGGCCAGCACAATGGAAAATACCTCCAGCAAGATGCTTGATCAAGTGTTGTGATAATGGCACTGTTTGTTTGTTTTTACAAAGAAGTGTGGGAAGGATTACAATGCGTTATAGTTCATAATTGTTCTTTGCCTTGTACTGTGCAGACCAGAATGCTTCGCTATCAACTCCTGGCTTTCCATCGGCATGGTGTTTAGCTGCAGCGGCATCTGGTCCGGGGAGTTGAAGTTGCTGGATGGCTGCACTGACACAGGATGGGTTTGCGTTGGCAATGCAATACCGCAGTCATTCCACAGCATGAGCTACATGTTTATGTAATTTATATTGTCGCTCGTCCAGCAACGTCAAGGTTCTGCATGTAAACACAGGAGAACCCCATAATAAAAAATACTACTCATACTCAGGGGATAATATTATAATTTTGGATTAGCAATTTCGTGCCATTTATGGGTTCCTGTCTAAACCATGCTGTGATATTGATTTCTATCTGCTCACAGAGTACCTGGTATTGTAACAATGCATAATCACTACCCTCCGCCAATTATTAGATTCACACAATATTCACAACGTATGCAACACAATGCTGTCTATTGACACTTCTTCGAACTGAAATACTCACTACTCTTCTCCCGTTTTCAGCTCCCTCTACTTTATGAATACTCTACATTACTGGTTTCGTTTCTACCTGGACAGGCCATGTCAAGGTCAAGGGAACAGGCCAAACAAAGAAAATCTACAACATGATTGACTACGTGCTGCTCCCTACGCACCTGCGTCCGCAGCTGACTAGGGCACGCTCGTACGGAGGGACACAGCTTGCCAGTGATCATAAGCTCGTTATTGCCGATCTGGAGACAAGCCGCTTGTTCAGAGCATACAATGCAAAATCTACAGAAAGTATGGAGAAACCTCTTGCTGTGGCGGAGCTTGCGAATCCTGAAAAGAGCCTCAAATACCGAGAAAACCTAAAGCTGAAGCTCCAATCCTCTCTAATGTTATGTAGTGTGGCAGACAGCATTCCCGTTGCGGATTTCAGGAAATCTGCAACCAACCGAATGAGGGAGTCGGCCAAAGAGGTTGTTGGACACATGAGACGCTCAAATCGTGGCACTCTGATAAATAAAAGTGCGGAAATTCAAGAACTATCCCGTGAGCAAAGTCGGCTCAGGGTTCTGATCGACTCTGGGCCGAGCAACGCAGCAGAGCTAAGGAAAGCAAGAAATCAAGTTCTCCATAAAATCAGAAACACCCAGCTTTCAGAAGCCAATGATCGCCTCGACAAAATTGCTGAACAAATCGATAACGCTCCTGAGTCGGTGAAGATGTTTCAGGCGGCGAAGGCCCTGAAACGGAAGTCTGCAGATAGTTCGGTAAAGGTTGAGTCTACCGACGGTGAAGTTGTTGCCCAGAGCCAGGAAAAAACGGACATAATCGCGGCGCACTTTCAACAGCAGTTCTATTCTGCGCTGATATCAACAGTCGAACGCCCAACGCCCCATAAGCTGGAGGTTCCCGTGGCCATTGCTGAGGTGAGCCGAGCCCTTTAGCGGTTGAAGAACCAAAAGGCCTGTGGAGAGAACCTGGTACATGGAGAGCTGCTGAAATATGGCGCAGAATATACCGGTCCTATAGTTGCAGATCTCCTGAACAGCATCACCCGAGGCCTAGACTTCTCGAGCGTCGTCGGCCCAGGCGTCCTAATCCCGTTGGCCAAACCAAACAAACCCCGCGGACCACTCACGAGTTTGAGACCGATAGTCCTACTCAATACAATAAGGAAAGCATTCTCACTCGTGATACTGGCACGGATATCAACAGCAGTGTCAGAATTTCTGGGACCCACCTCGTCGGGATTTCGAGCTGCAAGGGGAACGAGTGATGTCGTGTTCACCCAACGTTGGTTATGGGCCAAGTCACAGAGGTACGTGTGGGAGTGTCATGCCTTGGGGCTAGACATGTCAAATGCATTTGACACCATCAACAGAGCGAAGCTCCTGGATGTTCTGAGCTCGTTCCTTGGCCGCGATGAAGTCCACATGATACAGCATCTTCTGTATGGCACCACCATAATATCTGTTCGTATGTGCAGCTCCACTTCCAAGGCATTCCATACCACCATCGGCACGCCCCAGGGGGACAGTCTAAGTCCCGTGCTGTTCGTCTGTTACCTTGAAGCCGCCCTGCAAGAATGTCGCCCAAGACTCCCACAGCGACCTATAACTGATGGAGGCATCCCTCCAGAAACCGGGTACGCTGATGACATAACGTTTTACTCGACCAGTAAACCTTGGCTCGAGCAATCACTACCCATCATATCCTCGACACTGCAGTCTTGGAACCTAAAAGTAAATGAGCAAAAAACGGAATGGGTGCACTTTACGTCAGGCGATTCATCCTGGCAGAGCATCAGGCAGCTTGGCTCTCTTATGGGGGGCGCTGAGGATATCGACAGGCGGATTTCGCTGCCATCCCAGGCATACGGTAGTATGTTCAGCCTCTGGCTGCGGCGCAAGCATGTGTCAGAAAGGTCCAGGCTCAAGCTGTACAGCTCGCTTGTGCTGCCTGTCCTCCTTTACAACTGTGAGACTTGGGGAGTAACCCAGGCAGTCTTTCAGCGACTGGACTGTTTTCACCGCCGACAGCTCAGAAACCTGGTGGGAGTGCGATATCCAGACAGAATTACGAATGATGATCTGTATTCCAGATGTGACTCGCAGCCACTGTCGGAGCTTGTTGCCAAGCAACGCGGTAGCCTCACTGGCCAAGTGCTGAGGATTAGTGAGCAGTCACCTCCTTGCCTTGCGATGTCCTGCTATTTTCAAGCGGGGTCACGTGGACGAAGGGGCCGTCCCGCGGCTACTCTCCCTACCACCATCATGAAGGACCTGGCAGGGCACGACATTCCTTTGAAGAATGCCAGCGACCTAGAAGGAGCACGAGCATTTGCTGCAGACAAGTCGAAATGGAGATCAGACATTGTTTATGGATGAGTTTTTTGTTGACTGGAGACAGAAGGGGGCTTGGCTTAATTTCAGTGCATTCTCATGCATTGTTCTTTGGCCTTTGTACGCGTGCTGTGGTATTATTATTATTATTATTATTATTATTCAAACAGTAGTTTGGAGGCGGTGGGAAAAACAATTTCGTAATACGTATTCGCATGCAACGACGCAAATCCGCACAATTCAGTAGACACTTTTTTCTATCAAACGTTTTCTTTCCCTTCTCTTCAGGATAGTACAGGGAATGTTGGAAATTAGAAAAACACATAACTATAATTATAGAGAATGAAAGAAAGAAAAAGTCAACACTTCAACATAGGTGTTAAAATGATTAAAGTGTTAAAAACTCAAAAACAAACAGCTGCAAGTTGTAGACAAACACGTTGAACACATCAGGGAACACTTTTCACACTTTCACGAGGTGTGACACCAAACAACTGCAACGATAACACATTCTCCTTCTGTACACATAGTTCTGGATCTAGTTTACGAATATACAGAGCTTCTAACACAGCAAGATGTAACTTAGACCTTCCACTAGTCAAAATCGAAAAGATATCATCACTATACAACTTACGACAACTAGCACTGCCCGACAAATGACGCTTGATGGACGATGTCCGATCACTTAGCTCTGTCACCTTCGACGCCTGCCGTTGTTCTCTTCCGTTAGGCTTGTTTGGTTGGTTGCTCCGGTCCACACCTCCAACGTCCGTTAAGATGTGTTCTACGTGTTTGTCTACAACTTGCAGCTGTTCGTTTTTGAGTTTTTAACATTTTAATCATTTTAACACCTATGTTGAAGTGTTGACTTTTTCTTTCTTTCATTCTCTATATAGTTATGTGTTTTTCTAATTTCCAACATTCCCTGTACTATCCTGAAGAGAAGGGAAAGAAAACGTTTGATAGAAAAAAGCGTCTACTGAATTGTGTGGATTTGCGTCGTTGCAAGCGAATACGTATTACGAAACTGTTTTTCCCACCGCGTCCAAACTACTGTTTGAATTATTTATCGTGGAGGCACACTTTCGTACTGAGCCGCCGTGGCTTGGTATGTCGATGCACATTTTCTAACGGAATCGCATCTCCATAATATTTCTCCATTGGCTTTGTTCGTTCCAGTCTTCGTTTAATCGTTCTCTCTCTCTCGTTGCGTCTCGGACTCATTGTTCATTGTTTCCTAGATTTCGCTTGCACATTTCACCAGGCCCTCTGGTCTCCCAATATACATGAGGCCGTGGCCGCGCCTTTACATGACATTCTACAACAGACTTGCGGCCGTTGCCGAATCCTTAGCAGACGCTCTGCACCAGACTTGCGGGCGGTGCCGAATCCTTAGCAGACGCTCTGCAACAAACCTTCGGACGTTGCCGAATCCTTAGCAGACGCTCTTCAACAAACCTTGGGCCGTTGCCGAATTCTTAGCAGACGCTCTGCAACAGACCTTCGACCGTTGCCGAATCCTTACCTGACGCTCTGCAACAATCTTTCGGCCAACAAACTTTCGGCCGGTGCCGTGTCCTTAGCAGACACTCTGCAGCGTAACTTGGGGTTCTTGCCGAATCCTTAGCAGACACCCTACATAACACATGCATGCCACAGTGCCACATCTCTTGCTGAAGCTCTATTAGTATCATACATGCAGTCACAACGGCTGTTGTTATACCGCCCCCTGTAACCATAAGCAGAGGGTCCACACCTATGGCTCTGGGGTCTCCTCCGTGGGCTTCACGGAGTGAGATTCGTGGGGTTGACCTTGTCCCCCATATATGCATACCACCACCAATACCGCTCTGCTGTGTTTTCTGTCGTCACGGCATTGCTTCAACTACATTAAGCTACGTCTTCCCAGTGACTATATTGCTCTTCTTAACGAAGTCATTTCCCTTAGGGGACGACTAAACACTGCGATTTTTCATGCAAGACTACTCCGTGAGTGTCTCCATTATTCGGTGGCACCGAAGTACCTTCAGAAACGGGTCCAGAAATTGAAGCTCTATGACTCTATATCAATTGAAAAGGTCCTCCTCGGAGATGACCTAAACAAGGCTAAGGGTCACCTACAGAATGTACGATCAAAGTTTGTTTCCTCGTATCAAAATATTCGCCGGCTTCTCAATGTCTTTGACTTTATCAGACTTTCTTGGTTACTCTCCCAATGTGATCGCAAGCAACGATCCAAACATGACACGAAGCGAACTAACCTAGTTTCAGCGTTGAGAAGAGATAGGTTTGGAGCCTGCAGCGACAACTACGACACAATCATTAATCTTGCCGGTATCACGCTCAGTCAACTACAGAAAGATGTTCTATGTGGTGGAATGGATTTTGGTATCCCTCCCAAATTCAACCAGACTGATATTTTGGCTGAATTTGAACTTCTTCAACAACAGCTGTCCACTGTTCCCGCGAAATCGGAGTTGGCGGCGGCAACCTGCCGAGCTTCCTTGGCTGCCGAGGCGTTCCGGTTTGCCCAGTCTCCGCCAGATACACGATCCTTTTCACTGACGCGGGAACATATAAAAGTTCTCCAGGAACTTAGGAAGAACCCTGAAATCGTGATATCTCGCCCTGACAAGGGCCGGGCAACGGTGATTATGTCGGCAGTGGAGTATAGAGCGAAGATAATGGTCATACTCAATGACACCACTAAGTTCTGTAGACTCGGCCCGTGCGATGGTTATGATCACACTGCAAACATAGATACGAAATTAAGTAAATACCTACTGTTTCTATCTAGATCTCATCAGATTACTCAATATGAACATGATCGGCTAGCACCAACGGGATCCACTCGGCCACGGATGTATGGCCTGCCGAAAATTCACAAAAAGAATATACCATTACGACCGATACTAAGCATGTCCGGTTCTCCGCAATTTAAGATATCCAAGTGGTTGTGCGTAATGCTGCAGACTGTGCTCGCACTTTACAATAACCATTGCGTCAAGGACACATTCGAGTTCGTAGATAAGATCAGGAAATCGAAGTTTGAGTCGTGTGGTTACATGTGCTCGTACGATGTCGTCAGTTTGTTAACCAATGTTCCATTGCGTGAAACCATTGATATTTGTGCAGCAGCGTTGTACCATAACAAGTCCGTGACTCCACCAGATTTGAATGAGAGCGAATTTGTCAAAATGATGTTAATGGTCACTTCTGGTGTTGAGGTTTCCTTTGACAATGTCATGTATAGACAGTTGGATGGAGTTGCGATGGGATCTCCACTTGGTCCGGTATTAGCAAACATATTCGTTGGATTTTGCGAGTCATCCATTCCCCCATCGCTATGGCCCTCGGTATACTACCGTTTTGTAGATGATGTTTTTTGTCACGACGAGGACCAAGAAACCTGCGAGAACTTTTTAACAACCCTAAACGGACTACATCCTGCATTAAAATTCACTGCAGAAGGTGAACGGGACGGTGTGATATCCTTCTTAGATGTCAATATTACCCGCAACAACGACACCAAGAGTTTAGACATGACGGTTTACAGAAAACCCACCTTTACTGGCTTGTATATTCCATGGGGAAGCTACACA